AATTACAACGGCTATGCCGGTGACATATGGAGCCTAGGGCTGACCCTGATGGAGCTTTATATGGGTCACTTTCCGTTGTTGCCTCCAGGTCAGAGACCCGACTGGGCCACGCTTATGTGCGCCATATGTTTCGGAGAGCCGCCGAGCTTGCCAGAGGGGGTGTCGGAGGAGTTTCGGAGTTTCATGGAGTGTTGCTTGCAGAAGGAGTCCGAAAAGCGATGGACCGCCGCTCAGCTTTTGACCCACCCGTTCGTCTCTAAAGATCGGAGTATATCTGTTTCCTGATGGGTTGTTGGATTTACACGAGTTACCGTTTGTAGGGTTGGAGTTTTGTTTGTAAGGTTCTGAGTTTTGTGTATATACTGGGCCGGATTCGGATTCGGATTCTTTCTTTATGAAATTACTTAATTTCCTTTCAGGTTGATAATGTGCATCCTACTGTTTATCTTTAATTAAACTTGATTAAGAGAACGGAAATCAAATTTCCACTGATTCTTTCAATTGATTCTGGCTAAAACATCATCAAGTTAATTAATTAACTTACTTTCCGAGAAACTGGAAAGGTCAGAGTTGTCGCAATTCGAAATTGGCGAGGAATTGACCAACCTTACTAGCTTAGCTGTACAAGACTAGACTAGTCAACTTGGATCTATATTGGAAGATAGAAGGAATCAGCAGATAGAGTTTATTTAGAAACCCAAACAGGATTCAATTAAGCAAAAAGCTTGTAGCTCAAGTAGTTAAAAGTATTTATTTATGCACCTTAGGTTATGTACCCGTGGCTCATCGATATTGAAGACCTTCACATGAAATTAAACAATTTTGACTTTTTTCCACCTATATGAAATTTCGAAACACAAATATTTCCCCAGAAAAGATTAATTTTGTACCCGAAAAAAATACATAGGCTCATACTTGAGCATCGGGGCGTACATTATTTTTTATTATAGAATTGTATCTTCATCTGGTAATATGTCTATATCATTCATTGCTGATGAAAAGGTTAAAGGGAACACATTTTCAATTCCTGCATGATGCATGGAAATTGAAGAAGAAAAAAAAACCTAAACACACTTCATTTAACATTTTAAGAGCAATCATCTATGTTTTATTTGGACCAGCACCACGGTACCAGAAATATAAGGAGAAAAGAAAAGCAAGAATTTGGAAAAATTGCATGGAAACCAAATGAATAATAAAACAGTAATATAGGGGTGTGAGCCCTCTAGCTAGGGCAAATTGGTGAGATAGCATTCTGGAGCAAAGCCTTGAGGGAATCTCTTTGTGTCTGTGCAGTAATTGTAGATCATATAATTATTTTGCACCCATGTCATCTTCCCTTGATCTGAATAATCAAGCTTCTCCCAGTACCATGCTCCTTTGTTGGCATTGGAATTTGGAGAATTTGAATCACAAGAAGAAGTTCCATAAGACCAAATGCAACCATCAGCATTGAAATTCTGGTAGGATGCAGTGAAGGGTGATTGGGTCCAATCTATCTTCACCAGTCCACCTCTTGTGGCCCAGTTGTCAGCATTCCAGAGACTGGAGTATAACCTCATAGGCTGGTAGTTGGGGAATGGAATACCATAAGACTCAAGGTTCTTGAACTGCCTAATGGGGAGGCCATCAACCAAGAAGCTACATATACATACAAGAGTATTATTAACCAAAATGCAAAGATTGTATGTTTGTGAATTCAGAGTAATTTCAGAGTGATCATATTAATTGATCACATGATGTGACAATTGTGATATGTTAATCAACAGTTACCATAATAATTTATATAATGTGAGCCACATATTAAACTCTGATATCATTCTGTCACGCGGTTCGGGATTTTACTCTATCCCGAATCCCAACATGACAAGAATGTGATTAACATATATTACTTTTCACGTCATCAGCTAATACATAAAGTTAAAATTAAATGCAGTTCATTTAACATTTTTATGTTTACTTACATGATATTTTGGGGATTCCAAAGTATAGAATAGGTGTGGAAATCAGCAGTGGGGTCAAACCAAAGGTAGAATTGCTGCTCTCTGTTGCCCTTGCCTTGGCAGAACACATTAGTATGAAGTATGTAAGGGTCACCACTAAGGTTCCCCAAGAATTCGAAGTCTATCTCATCATGATATGACCCTGTTGAGGATAACTGAAACATATACATGTATACCAGAATACCACAAGCATCAGAAAACACATAAATTCATGCAATACATGTAAAAATGCATTTAATTCTGAGGAGACTTATTACATAGAAGGTAGTGACAGTGCCAGCAGAGTTTCCAGCAACAAGCTTAATTTGCATATCTATCTTTGCATATAGATATTGATTATATGACTCAAAAGCTGAGCCACTAACATTGTCAAGAGAGACAGTTAGGAGCTCTCCATTGTTGAGCATTTTAGAATGATCATCCCCTCCCCATGTTATGTAGAAGTCTTGATAAAACTTGCCAGAAAATGCAACCCTAGAAGTGCTGATTATGGAAAGGAAAAGCAGCAAAATGGCTGAAACATTCGAAGCAGAAGCAGAAACCATTGCTTGATGTAGAATTTGGAAAAACAGAAATTTAATTTGAGTGGTTTTGGCGGACTGATTTCTTCTTCTTTTTTTCTCTTTTTTGAGAGAGGAAGACTGCTTATTTATAATCGTGACGATGTGCAAACCATAGTGTGTGGCAACAACAAATTGATTTCGTGGCTTACATTTTAATCCATCATAGATTATCGAAGTTGCCCTTTCATTGGTGGTTTATGATTTTTATATTCACAAACCATGTCAATAGGAGAAAACTAGAAAATAAATAAGTATTTGACTTGATTTCAGAAACTTCATGTCACTGGCAAACTATGAGCCAAGACTAATATAGGCTTGAACGTGATGGGCACCCAGCTTATAGAAAGCAGCTAGCCAGCTACCTACCATCACAAGTACCAGTTGTTTCCCACCTGTGTAACAAACCATTCGTTGACACATGCATTGAACTAGCCAGTGGTTTACTTGTCTTGACTTTTTGAGAGTTTAATATTTGTTTATTTATTTATCTGCTTTTTGATTCATTATGCATGAACTCCTGGTTTTATATATATATATATATATATATATATATGGTGGTAATATTTACCCACAGACCCGGTGTGTTTCTTTAATAACTATTAACAATGACAACTAACTAGTTCTAAGAATCCCAATTTGTATTTATAGAGGGAAGGAAAATTTACATAAGATTCATTAATTTGCATGCTTAAACGATAAATCTTGAAAAAGTAGTAGATTGATTTCTAAATTACTACTTCATAGAAATTGTTAAATAAATAATTTGAGTTTTATGAAATAGTGGTGTGAATTCCATTACCTTAGTTATTCTTCTCATTAATTTAATATTTATTTTAGTTTATTGTCATTTCCATATTTTTTATGCTCAATTTATTTCTCTTTTTCAACCAACCAACCAACCCTTGAATCGACTAGGTTAGTAATTGAATTAATTAGGGTTTTGATTAGTTTTCTATCTTTTTCACGTAATCCATGTGAGTACGACTTCATTCTTACACATCTATATTACATTCGGTCGTGCACTTGCGAGTTTATAAATTACAAACAACACCATTTTGGGAACAACACTTATTCAAAGCCTTTTATGAAAGATGTGCTACGGGGACGTAGGCATTAGAGGTAGAGTTCTGGAGTTGATTTTTCACTTTATCACCTCAATTAAGTATAAAGTCATTCTTTCTGAGTATAAGCAATTGGGGGAGGGGAAGTTTACACAAATATTCCTTGGTGGTTGAGGGCTTCAAACAGTATCCACATCGGTGTAGGTGGAAGAGCTTAACCAACTGAGCTATACTCCACTAGCACTATCAAGCTAGCCATTCTTAATAGAGAAGTTACTGAGAATTTATATTATGTACGAAAAATTTATCTCATAAATATAAGGTTGTGGATGCTAAGCAGCAGTAGAAATCAATTAAATTAGGCGAGCTGGTCCTCAAATCTCCCATTTTTGTAGATGACCTCATGCTCTCTCCCAAGAAGCCATCAGCTGACTATAACAGACCTAACTGGGCCAGACACAACAGCCCAAGGTTTGGGCCCATTAAACAGGCCACTGCCTCATGTGAGCCCAATAAGGCCTAGTCGAAATCAGTTGAGACATAGCCTCCTCAGCGGAGGTGTACTCTTCAACCATGACTCACTACTAAACCGAGCTCACAGATTTACAGGGTCACCATCATCTACGGATGGATCGCAACCACTATCCTAGGAACCTCATGTCACCTTGGTGACTAGGAATTGTAATTGAATTCTGATTTGGTGTAAAAATCGAAGTTTGAGTCGGCGGAACACCAAGTGGCCCAATCCAAACTAAATTATTAAACTGACCAAGGTTTATAAAGACTATAAATGTGTTCTAATGTTCCAATGTGGGATTACAAATTTCAACTCAAACTTTCTTTATTATTTTTTTATATAGAAATTTTAAGATTGCATTCATAATTCAGTCAAAAAAGTCATTAGCCACAAAAGGTCATTATAATAACGAAGCGATCTAACATCGAAATTAAGACAATCTGGTGCGCCTCCATTAACGATCACGCAAAATCAAAGAAACTCTGGCATAGGCATCCTAACTAAGATTGCAAACTCATAATAATAATAATAAAAGATAAAGCTTGAAACATCAAGGCATAACACTACAAATAAAACTCTCACAAAGTAGAGATGAAAAGTTATCACAAAGGAGAAGTGAAAACGATTATAGGAGTGTTTTTTTACTCAAACTTTTTTTTCAAATCCAACACCTTACAATTCCATACCATAAACATCATAATGTACTATAAATAACATTTTTACAGTAAACAACGACATTTTCTATCTCACATATTACACTAATTGTAAGAAATATCAAATACCCTATTTTGAACATCTCAATTAATTTAATATATAAAAAATTAGCTTTTGCAAACTCTGGTCGCAAGATTAGAGTCTAAGATTTGCTGGCTGTGCATTCTGGAGGGAGGCCCTGTGGAAATCGCTTTGTGTCTGTGCAATAATTGTAAACCATGTAATTCTTTTGCACCCACTGAAGCCTCTCTTGGCCGGTGGAGTCTAATTCTTCTGAGAGCAAAACAGACCTGGTTGAGTTTGAATTTGAAGAAGTGCAAGAAGTGGAACCAGAGGACCACCATACACAGGCATTGTCCGCATTGAAATTCCTGTATGAAGCAGTGAAAGGAGCTTGGGTCCAATCTGTCTTGACCAGACCTCCTCTTGTAGCCCAGTCATCAGCGTTCCAGAGGCTTGAATATATCCTCATGGGAAGGTTCTTTGGGTATGGAACACCAATCGACTCCGAGTTCTTGAACTCTCTAATGGGGTGTGCCATCAACATAGAGGCTGCAACAGAGAGAAAATATATTTCAATAAGGACTGCAAGGAAAATAATGTTATTCTCGGCAACTAATGTATTCTTTTGCGGGATATGTAGCATGTTTTGTTGTCCGATTGTCAATTTGGAATCACACGTTGGACACATGTTTTTATGTAGTTAATGATCCAAAATAACCGTTTAGACTCTGCGAAATTAAAAAGATTTTCGAGAATATTGTCGTTGATCACTTACACAATATGTTGGGCATTCCAAAGAATCGAATATGTGTGGAAATCAGCAGTGGGGTCAAACCAGAGGTAGAACTGCTGCTCTTTGTTGCCTTTTCCCTGGCTGAAAACATTTGTGTGAACAATATAAGGATCACCACTAAGATTCCCCAAGAACTCAAAGTCTATCTCATCCCATGAAGTCCCTTCTGAGCGCAACTGCACCACATATACAAATTCATGTTTGTGCATTAGAAATTAATTAGCATAGAACTCTAAACTCTTTAACCAAGATTTATGTGAAAAATAATGACTTACATAATAGGCCGTGACAGTGCCAGCAGAGTTACCAGGGACAAGCTTGATTTGCATATCAATCTTTCCAAAGAGATATTCATTGTTGGACTGGAAGCCAGAGCCAGAGGCCTTGTCAAGCGAGAGAGTAAGAAGATCCCCGTTGTTGAGTATCTTTCCGCGCCCATCGCCCCACGTAACCTGAAAATCCTGGTAGAAGTTGCTAGCAGAGGCAGCCACGAAACAGCAAACCATGAGGGAAATTAGTAGAACGTAATTTGGAGGACATAAAATTGTAGCCATTTCTTGAAGTACTACTTGACCTAAGGACTTGTGTAGGGAAGACAAAGGTTTGCTTAATTTGAATATGGTAAAAGGTGATCTCAGTTGTGACATTTATATAGCATTGGAAATGCGTGTGTTGAAAGGTTCTTAATTTTCTATATTCAATGTTATGATGAATACGTAGTTGGTGATCACCGTGTGGGGAAAAGGGAGAAGCTAGATGTAACCAGCTGGATGCCAAAATATGTTTTTTCCTCAGTCATTTTCATATCAAAGTGGTTTGGTTGGAGGAAACCACAATGCTATTTCCCTGCAGCGAGTTCCATTTTCAAACATATACTAATTGCATCTAGGAAAGTATGGCGGCATAATAAAGTGGCTAGCTCACCAAATTATTTTCAATTCAACTATTTTTTATTCTAGACGGCATAATAAAGGGGTTTAGTTCTATCTTCATTTCTACATCAACCTATAGGATCTAACCACTCTTTTTCTCGAGTTCCAGCTTGCTCCAGTAATTGACCATGTCAAGCATTTGAGTTTTCTAGAGTTTGAACCAAATTCTTCTAGACGTTTGCCAAGCGTAGGATGCTGTTTGTTTATGTATTTATTATAAAACAACTATCTAAATATAACCATAAAACAATGTAACTGTGATCATAATAAGCATCAGATACAAAATATAAACAGTTGTATTTATTTACGGGTATTTATTTTTATTGAAATAGTGGATGGCCTTAAGTAGTACTTTTTGAATTCGGGCTAGGCCATCGAACTTGAATCATGTTCACAGTCGTACTATACTATACGAGTCATTCTATAGTGAGGACTTTATATATGGCCCTTAGATGATCAGGCTAATCAATTTGATTCAACGACTAACTAATTTGATCTAACGATTTCAAACTTTTTGGAGATAATAAATAACTGATTTCTCGTTTTAAATTGCCACAACATCCTCAAAATTAAGGTGTCATCTCGTTTCAAACTTTTTAAAGATAACGAATAACTAATTTCTTTTTGCTTTTAACAATTTTCTTTTTCGGTTGTTTATCTTTTAAAATTTGACTTTTTGGTTACATTATCTGATCTTCTTTGTAATTTACTTTGTACTTCAAAAAAAAATTGTATTTGAATAAAAGATCTTGAGCGAGAGAAAAAGCTCAGTAACATTTTCGTTTTTTTCCCCAAGTCCATGACCACGTAGGGGCCCAGGTAGTAATCTGATCTCGATAGGCCCAGTTCATTACTCACATGGTTTGACAAAAATGGTTGAGCCTACCGTTTACCTATTTGAGACCTAACTTCTTGTGCTACAGAGGCCTAGGCTATCCCAAGCTTAGGTCACACAAATCATAATTTCAGAGAAAATTGACAATAACAACTTCAAGTGATTTATGACAGTTGGTTTACCAATCTTCCAATTGAAAATGATTTAAATAAAATCCATTGTTACAAAATTCTATGACTAATATTGTGACTAATTATCTCACACTTTAAAGAATTGATGAGTATTCATAATTTAAATATAGTGAACATAAACCCAGATAACACGTGAACAAATAATTTGTTGAGTATAATATTTGAGGATAATCTTTCTCGGTAGTAGTAACCCAATTAAATAAGTATAGAACACAGCAAAAAGAAAAATAAATTTCTTGGTTCTTAGAACATATAACAATGAAGTTATAAAGAAAAAGAAAAAAAAACAAGAGAACCAAAAATAAAAAGTTCCTACCAACCGGTCCAAACAATCCGCAGTTTTTTAAATTCCCACAGTTAATGCCTGTAGCAAGTTAGTGGGTTAAGTCTTTGGCTGTGTCATTGAGCCATTGTCATAGTTAGTATAAAATTCTGATGGTAAATCGCAAAAACGTTGACGTTTTTGATACCCATTGAATTGCTGAGGATTCTGGAATGGAAGTGTGGATGAAATTGATATCACTCCAAAAGGACCATCAAAACCTGTACAAACAATAAATTGATTGATTTGTGACCTAAAACTCATGTAACATCAAACAATACTCATTAAATTTTGGATATGTGTTGTACTTACCTATACAATTTGTGCTGTTGAGAATTTCTGATTGATCAGTATTGTAATAACAGTTCTGGTTAGACAACAAAGAAGTTAGCTCATGTGAGTTTGCTGGAGGATGATCGACTACTTCACCAGAAACATGTGCATTGTCTTGAACATTTGGTTGTTCCTGAATTTCGACACCATTATTATTCGATTGGTTCGAATCTTTCGAGTGGTTGTGCTTGTTATATATCCGACACAAAACACAGTCATCAAGCTGCAATGAGAAAAAGAAAACACTTAATTAGGTCAAATTAAGTGTTAATTGGGAGGCACAACAAAATCTTAAAGAAAAACAAAAGTTACAAATTAATAATTTGGAGAAAATAGTAGTAAAAATCTCTGAATATTCAAACCCTCATGTCATTTCTGTCTTTTCTCTTGGGAGGAGCATTGACTTGGAATTCATGCATCTTCCAGTCTGTCTTGTCACCATGGGGAGGTTTTCCTCTGTAGAAAACCAGTGATGTCTTGCTACCAACTTCAACATCCTCAAACTTCACTTTTTTTTTAACCCCAGTAGCTTTCCAGTATCCATCCCCTGCTGCTCGGTTCGGACGTGCACCATTAGGGTACTTTTGTCCCTTGATGTGAAGAAGTACATCTCATCTTCTCCATATGACTCGTAAATTTCTGCAAATATAAACCAAGTACAGACTTGAAGGCTTACCCAGACTAACATGTAGGATATAGCATAAGAATTAAAAGTAACCTGATAGTGTGTCTGGGTTGAATTTGTACAGTTCAACATCATGAATCTTATTCGGAGGCAATGGTTCGTTGGCGATTTTCTTCCTCAAGTAGATAGCAACAAGTTCTCCATCCAAGGGTTTGAATCTATACCCCGGTGGAATTGAATCGAAATAAGAAGCATCATCATAATAAGAATCATAACTACCAGTATGTCCTCCATGGAGATCACTGCCATTGTTGGTGACAATAGAAGCCTTGCTACTTATACTTTGCTTCTCCATGGTTTGTTAGAGCATGTCCCGCTTTTTGATGCTATGGGACTAATGAGAGGAGTAGTTGGACTTATATGCTAATTGTCAATACGAGAATTTGAGTTCGATGTGTTCACCTTTTTTTCGGAACAGTGATTAGAATTAGTTTTCATTTGAAAGTTTGAGTCCTTATCGCCATTATCTTTTGGATAAGCAATGAATATCTCTATACATTATGTATTGGTTTCTAGTCTGACTCCGTCTACATTAATCTCAGCCCATAATACTCCATCGTATCAAAAGAATTTAATTTATTTCAAGAATAATATTTAGATGTGTTGAATTTGAGTGATAAACAAATGAGAAGCGTCCATACTTTCCCAAGGGGCCTTGAAATCACTTGTGTTTTGGGTTGATCGTTATCCGTTTTAGGCCTTTAGATCAACACGGCAGGCAAATAATGCACATCCTTATATGTTGCAGCAAGCTTAAGAGCATTAGGTTGTTTGCTTTTGGTCTATATAAACAGGTTCTAGCCTAGTGAAAAAGACTTTGACCTACAGATAAGATATCTTATATTTGAACACCTATGACATCTCGGTTGTGTGTGTGTGTGTGAGAAGGATCCGGATCCTTTGCTCTGATTTTCTCTGTCATGATTTGCTTTACTTTTGTTCTCCACGCGCCACCTCATTAAAATTTAATCTAACGGATTTAAAAGTTGACACATCATCTTTAAAACAAAAACCAATTTACTACTAAATAAAAAACAAACAAAAATACCCTAACCCAACTAACAACCTCTACAAGCTTTCCTTCCCCGAAGCCTCTGTAATCTCTTCTCTTTCCTTTCTACAAGATTAAAAATAAAATAAACAAATCTTCCCATATCCATTGTTTGAAGATGGTGGTTCCAAGAAAAAAGTATTCCCTTGTTGTTTTCCAAGATAAAAGAGAAATCATGTTTCAATATCTAGATTCCGGGTTTGTTTGTTGACATGCTTTTCTCTTATTTTTTTGTCCCAGCTACATGCTCATATTTATTGGTCCCTTCTACATGCTCCTATGTTTTTTTGGTTTTCTTCCTATCTCTGCAACAATTCAAAACTTACACTTTCTCACCAAAACTAGTTGGGTTTCTGTCTGGCTTTGAATTGGATTTCAATGTTTTGGTATCATCAAGAGAAACAAAGCCAAAAAAAAGTCTAAAAGATCAAATCCAACAGGGTGTAGAGAGCATAGTAAAGAAAAAAAGACTCAGTATTACAGCAAACAAACCAACAAAATAAGTACAAAAAGTTGTCTTTAATCAAACCAATACAAAATAAGAAAATTGTATTTTCTCCCATAAAAAATTTGTGCAATTGGGTGGAAAAGCTGCAGAGAAAGAAAGAGAAAAACAGTTGAAAAGGAGGGACGTTGAAGAGAAGGGAGATAGAAAAAAAATTGCAGGATTAAAGTTTCTTGATAGTTCAATTAGGGTTTTTGTTTTGTTTTTTAATTAGTAGTAAATTGGATTTTATTTTAGAGATGATGTGTCAAAATTTAAATCCCTCAGATTAAATTTTAATGAGGTGTCATATGGAGGTGAAAAGTAAAGAGATCATGACAGAGAAAATCAAAGCAGAGGATCCGGATCCGTGTGAGAAACCCCCTCCCCTTCTTCTCATTGACATCTCATTTATTTATGGAAAATACTTGCATCCTTTTCTTATAAATAGGAGGCAAGAAGAAAGAATGTTGCAATAATGCAACATCCTTATATGTTGCAGCAAGCTTACGAGCATTAGGTTGTTTGCTTTTGGTCTATCTAAACAGGTTCTAGCCTAGTGAAAAAGGCTTTGACCTACAGATAAGAGATCTCATATTTGAACGCCCATGACATCTCGTTGTGTGTGTGTGTGAGAAACTCCCTCCCCTTCATCTCATTGACATCTCATTCATTTATGGCAAATACTTGCATCCTTTTTTTATAAATAGGAGGCAGAAGAAAGAATGTTGCAAGCTATAATTTGCACGAAGGAATAATGTCTTGTTTCCTGAAAGGAGGAAAGCGATTTCTTTTGTTTAATATTCTTGATGAAGCTAGTACACTGAGTATAAACAAAATTAAACAAAATTAAGATCTGCTAAGGATTTTTTAAGCCCCTTTTCAGTTTTCAAATCCTCATTTCCAAAAGTTGAATAACTCATGGCTTGCTGTTTTAAAAGTTGAAAAACTCATTCTTGTCCACTAAGCAAGATATTATATCTGCTACACTAAGCCAGTCGAATACGTGTACAATAGTTGCGAAAATTTCGCAATATTTACAACGAGAAATTTTGAGAGAGTGATGATATGAAATTCGAATGGTTTAGGAATTTTAGTTGTTGGTAGTAAATGGTTGATATTAATGTACGCAATGAAACATATTATTAAATGGTGATACCCAATATAAGAAATTTAAGGGTAATTTTCATTTTACTACATTGACGTTTATTAAGTTTCAGCCTTTGATATATCCAGTGAACTCACCCATTTCTTGCCACATGGACTAAATAATGAAAATATATTTAATTGATTAATTACAATTTAAAAAAAAATATTTAAAACTAAAATAAATTTATTTTTTTGTTAGAGCATCTGCAATGGTGAGGGTCATTTTAAATTTATTTCAATTAATTGAATTTTTGACTTGCAGTGGTAAAGTTCAATTCATTTCAAAGATCAATATTTCATTTTAAGGATCAATAGTTCATTTCATAGGTCAATAAAATGAACTCTAAAATGAAATTCATTTCAATAAGTGGCCCACCATAATAACTCTACAGCATCTTCTCATTGAAACATGGACAACATTACTTATTACTTTTAATTTTTTCATTATATTTAATTAGTGTAAACTAACCGCTTTTTTTTTTTTCCAAAGCTACTAGCCGATTTATTTTACTGTTTAAAAAAACAAACGTTAATATATATATTAGCCATTACTGATTTGTATTAAGAATTTTGCTTGGTTTCAATATGGTCAAGTCCTCTTTGTTTTGGTTTCTATGTGGTCAAATCTTTGTTTTGATTTCTATGTGGTCAAGTTTTTGCATTGGCTTCCATGCTTTGAATTTATGCATGCTTAACCAGATTCAATTTTGCGTATTCGTATTTAATTTTGTTAAGCAATAACTTGAAAAAGATGTTGCTCCAATGTGTCTCATTTAATCTCAACTTCCAATTCTTCATAAAAAAGTGTTAATATAATATTGTCACCAACCAAAGAAAATTTTATTGTTAATATATGTATTTGAAAGATCTATTTGAAACCATGTTAATTGTATAATTCTTATTGTAATTAACTTTATTCGTTTTATTTTATTTAATCATTTAAAAAGATATTTAAAAATATAGTTTTTAATTTGTAAGCTATTGAATTGCATCACTGCAAGTGAAATTGTAGTTTAGTTCAATAAAATTCATGTCAAAATTAGTTACCTCACTATCCTTTTTCTATGTTCCACTCTAGTTAGACTAGATGAGGTTTTAATGCGTCTATTGTCTCTGACCCCTTTAATATTCTTTTTTTATATATATAATACAAGCGATAGTTAAATTACAAAAAAGAGGGGTTTCTCACACACACACAATCAAGATATCACATAACACTACTAGAAAATTGAGTAGAAGCCATTGTTTTCTCAGCCACTATATTTAAATGGTGGCCATTGTTTCAGTAGGCTAAACCTCTCTAATATTCTTTAATTTGAAAACTACTTGCATAATATATTCATTTACTTATCTGCAAGGAAATAATTTAGGTCTGTACTAGGGGAGGAAGAACCTGCTAGTAGTGCGGTGAGTAATTCGACCAAAATCAGCAGGCTGGGCAGCTTGCCAAACAAAATCTGACCCCCATACAAAATAAAAAAAAAAAAAAAAAAAAAAAAAAAAAAAAAAAAAAAAGCTCTCAAAAAGCTGTGTTATCTAGTGAAAGGTTGCATGGTTTGTGCACTTGTGTGACATGACACATTTTCACACATCAAAACAAGGACTAGTCTCATGCATTGCCACCTGTGTCCACCTATTCCTCTCTACCTCACAACTTGGCACTCTGGGATTATTATCTCCTTCCTTCCTCCATCTCTCTCCCTCTCTCTCATCACCTTTAAATTGCAAAACCATGCCTCCCAAATCACACCAACTCACCAAAAGTTTACACCTTCCTAAGTCTCTCTTGCCCTGCCACTATGCTTATATCTCTTGCTCTCTTACCCATTATTTAAAGCATTCATAGGATTTCTGTTCCCTCCCACACAAACCAATATCCAATCAAATTAGAAATATAACTAAACCCTAAATTGGTCAGTGGCTTCGTTTTGTTTTCCAATGTTGTTAATGTTGTTATTGGTTAGTTCCATTTTGGTTTGCTATGCTGGAAACTTGAACGAAGATTTCAACATTACATGGGGAGATGGCCGTGGAAAAATACTCAACAACGGTCAGCTCCTAACCTTGTCACTCGACAGAGCCTCTGGCTCAGGCTTCCAATCCAAGCACGAGTATCTCTTTGGAAAAATTGACATGCAGATCAAGCTTGTCCCTGGAAACTCTGCTGGCACTGTCACTACCTACTATGTGAGTCACGTGCCTCTAATTTTATATTAATATTTGCATAAAACTTTTTAATTTTTGGAGACTGGTGAGTCTTATATTAATTAATTATATATGCTATTTTGTTGCAGCTATCATCAAAAAGGTCAACATGGGATGAGATTGATTTGGAGTTCTTGGGGAATCTGAGTGGTGATCCTTACATTCTTCACACCAATATATATACCCAAGGCAAAGGCGATAGAGAGCAACAATTCTACCTCTGGTTCGACCCCACCTCTAATTTTCATACCTACTCTATCCTCTGGAATCCCCAACGCATCATGTAAGCAAAATGTTATTTTTCAAACAGTCTAACATGTTATGATGTCAAATTTTATTTCTGTACGTAGGTGTAAAACAAATGTTATTTTATCAACATTTTGACAAGTTATGTTGTTATATTCTTAATTTTGTTAGTAAAGGGGTTTTTTTGGGTCAAATAAACCCTAAATTTGGGTTTTTCATGGGAAATGAAAAATGTGAGAGTTTATGTCTATAATATAAGAGTTACATGGACCTTTCTCTTAAGAACCCTAATTTTATTTACCACGTTATTCTTATTTGAAAACATGGTAATATAAAATTGCCCACATATTAAACGAAAATTTATTTGATGAATTTAAATTAAATTAAATTATAATTTTCCGTTGTTAGATTATCAGTTGATGGCACACCCATTAGAGAGTTCAAGAACCTAGAGGCATCCATTGGAGTTCCTTTCCCAAAGAGCCAACCAATGAGGATTTTCTCTAGCCTCTGGAATGCTGATGACTGGGCAACAAGAGGAGGACTGGTCAAGACAGATTGGTCACAAGCTCCATTCGCAGCCTCCTATCGAAACTTCAACGCCAATGCTTGCGTATGGTCTTCTGGTGCATCTTCTTGTAGCTCATCATCATCTTCGACATCAAGACCTACCAGTAAATCGTGGCTCACAGAAGTTCTTGATACCTCAAAGCAAGAGAGGCTCAAGTGGGTCCAAAAGAATTACATGATCTATAACTATTGTATAGATATAAAGCGCTTCCCACAAGGCCTCCCTCCTGAATGTAGAATAAAACTCTAAATGGATGTAATAAAATAAGAGTTATTTACATTAACACCTCTGGGGTTTCACATTGCTTTCATAAAAACCCATTCCATTAATTTTCCCCCTAAAATAAAGTTGTTGATGTCATAATTTTGTTTTCCAAATGACAATGTTGACCTCAAAGATTAGACTGCACACACTGTAAGCTCTAATTATTGAGGCTAAATTTGTCATTTTAAGAAGTTTTTAAACATTAAATCATCAATTTTTTCGATGAAAAATGAAAGAAAGAGATTTGTGAAAATAATTTGTAATCGCAAAGATATTAGTGTAGTTTCAAAAACCTCAAGGCTTTTGTTACCAATCTTAATCTAGAATTGTGTATTCTTATTAATAGTATCTATGATTAGTTTTCAATTATGTATTACTGATTTCGGTTACTTTACTGATTTACCATTGTCCTTTATGACTAGAGTAGAACCAAGAAGAATTTTGTTCTTTTCTGAGTTTGCAAGAAACTTTTCTTGAGGATCAATTCCCCAAATGAAGTCAGAAAGCAGGTTTCAATTTTTGAGATGCGATGCAGTAGGAGGTGAGTCTTGGACTGTTATCATGACCAATTGTTATATGACAACACATTTGAATAACTTGCGTATTCTTAACAATTCATTTCTAGTTAAAGAACTAATTCCTTCAACATTAATGCTACTTCTACCCCGTTCTGACAGTGGTGGTGACAACCTTTGAAATATAAGTCAGCCAAATGCATGTGTAGGGTTTTGAAAACATATATAATGTTGAAGATAAAATACATTAAAGAGTGATTTTAAAAAAGAGATAATAAGAGGAAACTAATTGTTGTTTAAAATTTTACATCTTTTGTTTTCATACAACGATTTATAAAATGATGTAAGTTTCTTTTATTAAAACCACTAACAAATAATAGTATATACTTATTTCAATACAAGCGATAGTCTAAACTACGAGAGAATGAGGGTTTCTCACGCATTAGTACTATTAAGGTGTCATGGAGGGGCATGCATATACACATGAAACATATAAAGCACAAATAGATAAAAGAGAGACAAATAAATAAAAGACTATAATGAACAAATTTGATTTTAAATAAAAAAGGAGTTTGGTGCTCGTAACAGTTTGCAACATCAACCATGTCATGCAATGCGATTTTTAGGCCCAAACAGGTATTGCCTAACGTGTGGATATGGCTTTTGGTCCACAACATATGAAGATATACATATATATAATATTATTGTCGGTGGTGGGGTGGTTTGGTTTTGGATAGAACCAAGCAAATGGTCTAAGTTTTGGTGAAGGGAAAGCTAAAGGTGAACTGGGCCTCACCTCCCCATGCGAACACTTTTCCCACTCAAAAAATCTGTTCAAAACCGCGTCCTGTAAATGGGTTGTTTTTAGCCGCAATAATTCCCCTTTGCATTTATGAGAAATCTAACTGGGCACAGCTAGCAAATTGAACCTTCCAATCTCCTTCTCTTCAGTCAGAACCACATCATCTCCACTACTATATAAAGCACAAGCCATGCTATATTTCTATGCACTCCAAACTCTCATATCAAAGCAATATAGCTCTCTCTCTCTCTCTCTCTCTCTCTCTCTCTCTCTCTCTCTCTCTCTCTCTCTCTCTCCATCTGAATATTAATTTCTCCTCTCTTTTTACTCATTTCCAAAGAAAACCCATGGCTTCCTTTAAATCATCTCTTTCATTTATACTACTGATTGCTCTTCTTGCTGCTAGCTCTATGGTGGTTGCCAATGCTGGTAACTTCAACCAGGACTTTCAGATAACATGGGGAGACGGTAGAGCTAAGATTCTCAACAATGGCGAGCTTCTTACTCTCTCACTTGACAAAGCCTCTGGCTCTGGCTTTCAGTCCAAAAATGAATATTTGTTTGGCAAGATTGATATGCAGCTCAAGCTTGTCCCTGGAAATTCTGCTGGCACTGTCACAGCCTACTATGTAAGTTCATCTCGGGATATATATTTCACTTCCATTTTCTTGAAGCTTTCTTGTATCTGACAGATAAAGTTTTGTTGATTTTTGCAGTTATCCTCAAAAGGGTCAACCTGGGATGAGATAGATTTTGAGTTCTTGGGGAACTTGAGTGGTGATCCTTACATTCTTCACACCAATGTCTTCAGCCAAGGCAAAGGAAACAGAGAGCAACAATTCTATCTCTGGTTTGACCCAACTGCTGATTTCCACACCTATTCAATTCTTTGGAACCCACAGCGCATTGTGTAAGTAACCCAATAACCCAAATCTTGTTCAAATCAAGTTTCAACTTTCAATTGCTAATGCGGTCTTCGATTTAGTGGTAGAACTGTTGGCAACTTGGCATGCAGACTGCGGTTTAAATTATGTATTTTTCCTTCTATAGTCCATTATCCACTAACTTTACTCTGTGTTTGCTCTGTTTCAGCTTCTCTGTAGATGGCACTCCCATCAGAGAGTTCAAGAACCAAGAATCCAATGGTGTTCCGTTCCCAAAGAACCAACCAATGAGGATCTACTCAAGCCTTTGGAATGCAGATGATTGGGCCACAAGGGGTGGGCTTATCAAAACAGATTGGAGCAGAGCTCCTTTCACTGCTTCCTACAGGAACTTCAATGCCAACAATGCTTGTGTTTCATCAAATGGAGCTTCTTCATGCAGCTCATCAACTAGCAACGCATGGCTCTCAGAAGAGCTTGATTTAACAAGGCAGGAGAGGCTGAAATGGGTGCAGAAAAACTACATGATCTATAATTACTGCACTGACGCTAAGCGATTTCCCCAGGGCCTCCCTACAGAATGCAAGTCATAAATGGCTTAAATTAAACCCATGTTTTAATTCTTTAATCTAAAATTCTTTTGTTCTTTTTCCATGCGTACCTTATTCAGTGTATTTTTTGTTGTAATATAACTTCACGTTCTAATAATATATACAAGGGTTCAATTAACTTTATTTTAAAATAGTTTTATTTTGGGCCGTCATAGGGCTTCCCTTAGGCCTGACTCTGATTATACAGGATGCCTATCTCAAGCACTTTCTATAGGCTTGATTGGCTTGCCATTGGGCCCATCGAGGCCCTGCATGGTTAGTAAAATATAGATAATATATTATACGTACGTGTATTATTCGAAAAATTTCTTTTACATACAGGGTGAAAACTTCAACCATTCAATAAAAAATAAACTAAAATTTTATTTAATTTTATTTTCTCTATTTTTTTCAATAGTATAACATACACGAATAATTTGCATTATTACAATATTCTATTTTAAAAAACATGTATTATAATTGAAAAATAACTACGTATACAGTACACGAATAATGTGCTTTCTTAGACATGTCAGAATTCCTAACCCTAAACTTAGTCCTTTTTCTCCTTGCTGGCAACCAACTCTTCCTCAGTTAGGGGCGAGGTGGCTACTAACCGTCCTCGCCTCCGCCCTTCTTCTCCCTTCCTCTCATCATCTCCTCTTCTTCTTTTCCCATATTTTTCCCTCCCTCTCTTTCCACTTTCCTAGAGCTCTTGTTGGTCTCTCTCTTCCCTTCCTCTTCTCCTCCCCTTACCCTCTCCATATAGGGACGGACTCAGGATTTCAAAATGGCGTGGCCTAAATTTAACTTACGTACAAACCTGCTCAACAATACGATTGATAATTCATAAGTCTTAATTGTAAATCCCTAATTGATACTTCATAAACCCTAAATCTCCAAAATTTCAGCATCAATAAATTTAGAGAAGCATGGTTGTGATTTAATTGCATAAAATAATTATTGTTATTTAGTGGGTTACGTGGAACTTTGAGGGCTGAAGTTGTTATATATATAAGATACAAAAATATTAAGAGACCCAGCTCCCATATCATAGCCTTAATAGTAATGTAACTTTTTCTTCTTTTATCTTTTCTTTTATAAGCATAAAATCATGTCTGAAAGCTTAGAGGCGTTTGGTATCCTATTTAAATAGGGAATTCAAAAACTTTGATTTTTCTTAAAAACAAGGAGTTTTTAAATCTATTTTTAAGATTCAAAAACTTGTTTGGTATGCAACTTGAAAACTGTTTTCAAATCTTAAAAAATTAAGAACTTGTGGGTTATTAGAAAAAAACTAAAAAAACATATATTTTTTGTTTTTAATAATGGGGGTGTTTTTTTAGTTGTTTTTGAGTTTGAGTTTTTAAAAATATAGCTACCAAACAGGTTTTCTTTGTTTTTGATTCAAATTCTGTTTTTGAGTTTAAAAAGTTTGATTCAGCTTGAATACCAAACAGGCTCTTAGTAACGATCACTACCTTAGGACATCCATATTAACTTTAATTTTTAATACCTTCAAGTTCCTTTATGAAAAATATGAACATGTTAACTAGACATACTTTTGTTCTATTTAATGGTCTAAAATGACCTACAAAAACTTAACTTTATAAAACCTGCCAGCACAAAACTTTTCCAGAACAAAGGTTACTTAAAAATTTGCCAAAATTAAAATCCATATTCAATAACCACGAAAATTTGCAGTCTATGAGAACACACATATACGTTCATCATGCAAAAGCTACAGGTCATTTGGAAAGCTTCAGATGAGTCCAGAATCTGTCAGGAAAATTTGAATTTAATCTACATATCAATGCTCTTGGAATATCCTTTCATGGTTATTGTGAAAAGTTTTGTTCTTGGTTCATGACAATCAACCACATTTTCTATGTTTGAAAATAGAGGGTAAAAATTAATGACAGACAATAGCAGTGATCCTGAAACTGAAAGTTACCCCCTGCCCATGATCCATCAGCTTTCTTCAAGAACACTTCCATCATAGCCACTTGGTATATAGTGCTTGGTCTAGACTTATCAGTAAAGTGCTGTCTTTGATTTGGATTTGTATATCATTGTTTCTTCAATTTTTTATTTTTGGAATTTTGACATGGAAGGCATGATGCTTGTGGTTTGTAGGTTGTTGGGTACCTTAACACCAAGCAGGCGGCACTGTTCCAAAGAATGATTTGGGAAG